CATGGATAGGAGCTGCTGCCAGAGCAGCCTCTCCTGGTCCCCCTGCACTGCTACCTCTGATAGAGATAGCAGTGCAGGGGTAGTGAGAGCAAACGGCACTGCGGAGATGGTGCTGGGGGAAACTGGCTTTCAAGCTGTCTCCCCACAGCGCCAGCTCCTGCTTCCCTCCCCACTTGCTGCCTCTAATACAGAGGCAGTAAGGGTTGGGGGATGCGAGTAGTTGACCGCTCCACTACTCTTTTACATCCCTCACATGTGTATGATCACTTGCCTTAGCTTAACATAGAGGATGTGACCTGTAGGTTCCTTGTGTTATAGCTATAATACTCCAATACAGACAACCAAAATATTCTAATGCAAATTGATGCATCGATGACAAAACAATAACCTATAAGAGAACAAATTATCAAATAGGCAAGCAAGCAGACTAGCCCTATAGACTATAGGATGGGTGTAGGGCACAGCTCTTGTTCTCTGTGCCAAATAGTACGTCCACTTGTTTCTTCTTTTGTAGAGATGTGTACATGACCAAGGATCTCAGAGTCACCAGGGAGTCCTTCAATATGTGCAAGGACTCACCCAATCTGGTTGCAAATAGCTGGGGACTTTAAATGGGGATCCTCGATGGCAGTTTTTGTTTCTTTGGGAAAACCCAAGAGCCAGAGCCAGGAAGTTCATTACATGACTATGGCCATGGCAATGGAACATGCCACTATGTCTGCAGAGTCTAATGAGGCTTGTTATGTGGTGTGGGCTAGAAGGTATCCCTTGGATCTTATGGCTTTAAATTGCTCCCTTCTGTCTTCTGGAATACGTTCAATAAACTGAGATATTTTTGATAGTTGGAGTAACTGCATGTCCATTAATGCTTCATAGTTTGTGATCCTCAAACGAAAGGTCACTGAGGAGTAACCTTTATGATCAAAAAGATTCAGTCTATTTAAGTCCCTGTTGGATGGGGTGGATCCGGAGTAGCGTTGTCTGGACAGTTTATTCATGGCCTCTACCACCAGAAAGTTTGGCAAAGGGATAGAAAATAAAAAGTTCCATTCTCAAATTATTGCTGGGGTCTGCCAGATGGTCTTGGCTGGGTACAGGAGAGCCTTGTTTAAGGGACGGAGCCATCTTGGAAGAGGCTGAAGTTTGGAGGATGTCCAACAACTTATGATGCAACTCTGCAACTTCTTCCAGTAAAACCAATAGAGATGTAAAATCCTGTTGAATTAGCTAAGCAGTTAAGTTAACTGGTTAAACAGTTAACCAATTAAAAGGGGAGTGAGTGGGGGGACCTCTCCTGCCAAGCTGGAGCAGCCTCCCCACCCAATGCCAGGCTGGAAGACCCCCAACCAACTCCACCACAGGCAGGGGCTGCTCCAGCCTGGCCAGGACAGCCCCTGTATATATCCCCTTCCTCCCCCCACTACAGGCAGAGGCTGCACCAGCCAGGATGCCAGAGCAGCCCATCTGATATGGGCCAGGGTGCCCCGCAAGCAAGGGCTGCTCCAGCACCTTAACCAGTAAGCCTCAGATTACAGTTTGTTTTCAAGCTCTCTCCTAAAGGAGAGTTAAAGAGCTTGGGGGTGACCCCACAAGAAGAAGCTCCCAACTGCTTCTTCCTGACTTTCAAGAGTTTTCTCCTAGAAACCAGACGATTCTGCACGCATATTCCTAAGAAGCAAAGTCAAACTGCTAAGAGAAATTACTGTTTTCAAGCTCTCTCAAGATGGAGGGTTTAAAAAGATTGAGGATACCCCGACAAAAAGAAATTCCTATATATACCTTCCTGGGATTTCAAAGTAGTTTTCGCATTTGGGGGTGGCAGCAATACCAATCCAAGGCCAGGGAATCTGTGACCTTACGAGTTTTAACACAAGAAGTTAGTGGCAGGGAATTTTAGTCTCTTGTGGGCCTTCTGCACTCTTAAGGGTATGTCTACACTGCAAAATTAATTCGAAATAACAGCCGTCTATACAAATAGCGTCGATACATGCAAACCGCTATTTCGAAATTAATTCAAAAAAGCGGAGCGCTTAATTCGAATTTGGTAAACCTCATTCTATGAGGGGTAACGCCAAATTCAAAATAGCTATTTCAAATTAAGTGCTGTGTAGACCCTTAATTTAAAATAGGGGGCCTCCAGCCCTTCCCAGGGAGCCCTGGTGGCCACTCTGGGCACAGCCAGGAAAACTTACTCTCCTCTCCCCTAGCCCCGGGGCCATTAATGGGGTAGACCCTGGCCACAGTGCCTGTGCCAGCTCCAAGCCAGCCAACCCAGAGCCAGCAGTGGCCACTGGGGCCCCTTACCCAGTGGCCCCAAAACATGAGCCAGCAAGCCACTGGCAGCCAGCCCTCCTCTGTTCCCAAGAGCAGTCTGCCAGCTCCCAAGAGCCTGACAGGGGCTGGAGAAGGCGGGCGCCTTCCTGGCCCAGGGGAGAGATCATGGACCTTATTCAGGTTTGGGGGGGGTGCCCCCAATGGCCATGATCTCCACACTAGACGGAGGGAATGCAGCCGTCTATGGCAGGATAGCTGCCAGTCTGGCCACCAAAGGCCACATGTGAACCCAGGAGCAGGTTTGCATGAAAATCAAATTGGTCTGGCGAGACCCCCCAACGTTGGGCCCTGAGCTTCCCCTCCCCCTTCTTCTCCTTGCTTCCCCCTTCCAGCTCCCTCCTCCCAGGTTTCCCCCTCCCCTCTCCTACTCCCTCTCTTCCCCTCTCCGACCTCCTTATCCCAGTCTCCCCAGAGGTACATCCACCCCCCCCCCCGTTTTGTTCAATAAACCCAATTTCTATTTTTGAACATGTGTCTTTTATTTGACATCAGGAAGAGGGGCTAGGGAGGGGTAAGTGGAAGGATGTGAGGGAGGAATGCGGCAAGAGCCCCCGGTGGCTCCTCGGGGTCTCCCGCAGGGTCTCCTGAATCCTGACAGCCCCCCGATAGACCTCCAGATGGCAGCCTGCAGCAAGTATAGCTGGGCTGATGGCAACGACCCCATGAGACACACCGGTGTGTCCAGGGGCAGCTCTGGCTCTATGTGGCCGAGTGCTGTGGTGTCCTGAGTACGGGCACGCAGGGCACTCCATGACAGGACTGCTTTGCTGTCCCTCATCGAGGTAGACAAGCAAGCGGGGAACCCTGAGAACTGTCTGTCCGGAGTGGGGGTAGGGTCCCTTTAAGCACAGAGCTCAGTTAGCTTCAGGCAGCAGCCCCACAAACTAAGTCCTAACCTGGTGCCCTGCCAGCACTGGTTCCGGCCAGCCTTAACTTCGGTTCAGGGTCCACTCAGTGTGGATGAGCTATTTCGAAACAGCAAAACGCTATTTCGAAATAGATTTTGTGTGTAGATGTGTTCATTCGAATTAGCTTAATTCAAATTAACTATTTAACTTAATTAACTATTAAGATAATTCGAAATAGCGCTGTAGTGTAGACATACCCTAAGTGACAAAGCAGGGAATAGCCTTGACACCATCTTTTAAAAAAGCTGCTGAATAGTCTTGACAAGGTATAGAAAAGCCAGAAATTTCTCAGAGGCAGTGCTGATCTTTGCTCTGACTTTGATATTGTGAGTTTGGAGATGTATATCAGCGCCAAATGTCATGTCATCACTTGCCCCTATTGAATGAACAAGCTTAGCACTCTGCTGCTGAGAGGAGAGTGAGGGTCTCTCCTTGTGGGATGAGGGAGATAAGTGAAGTCAGCAGTGTCTATCCAAGTGTACAGATCTCACTTGCCTTGGTTCTCAATGGAGGGCTGGTAAATTGGCACCAAGATAGTTTTCAGTGGTTCCTGTTCCTTGCCAGATGTGTTGTAGATTTTTGCCAGTTCTGAACTTGAATGTTGCATGCCAGCTTGCAGGGCCACTGGCTGTCTTCAACTTAAAGACCAGATCGATCTTGAATGTCAAATTTCACTCTTCAGCTTCTGAAGTCTCTTTCATTGATGTCTGAGTTAATAGAAATTCATCTGAGAGTCTCCAGACTTAACTGCTGAAGTGGAAAAGGAATGGCATACCAAGCAGGAGTCTAATACATGGTTCTCCCCAAGATGACAAACACAGACGCTGTGGCCATCTGTAAATGTCATAGAACTGCCACAGTTTGAAGGCTAACATTTTGATTTAGCCAGTTTAGGTCTGGATACTGGGAAAAAAGTACATTAAATTATTTCAGCAGGGTGGTGTATGTTAATAGAGAAAATTTTAAAGAATTATGAACTCATTTATAAGAGAAAATTCTGCTAAAAAGAAGGGATTGGACACTATTTGTTCGGTCTCTGCCATGGGCAGTAAGAAGAAACTGAGGGTTGCAGCCACTCTGTTATTTTAGACTGACAGCATGCATGAGGACATGCACAACACACCTGTGACCCAATGGAAACCACTCCCTAAAGGTTATGCTCTGATGCATGTGGCACAGGTGGGTACCTAGACTGTAAGTGACATGGACACATACTAGACAAAGAAATTTGAGCTACCATAGAACAGCTCAATTCAACTGTTGAAATGCCATTCTTGCACACTCAGACACTGGGATCATATACTGACGGAGACACGCTATATGCTAGCTCTCTACATAGTCAAAGCATTTGTACTGAAAATATGAGCCTTAAAAAAAGTTACCATATTGGCCCAAAGACTAAAAATTACATTGTGCTTTTACAACCTGACCTGTGCAAAGGGCAGTGTGTAGCTACATAGCCCCAGGACCAGTACAATGAAGGAATCTTGCCTCCAAGTGGGGACTTATCTACTAGTAGTCCATGATGCTAGTACACCAAAATGCTCTGTACTGTATTTCTCTTCTTGAACCTGTCTTCATAATTTCCCCTCCCTCTCACCCACTTCCTGAAGTCTCGCCCATGCATCTGTAGAAATGTTATATTCTTGAGAGCCAGAGGACTAAACCTAGTAAATAACCTGTGAGAAGATGCCCCCATCACTTGCACATACTATTCAGAGGCAATACCTGGTGAGAAGCCAACCCCTCCAAACACCACAAGGGAAGAAGAGGGTGCTGAGACTCCTTTCACAATGTGCTACCCCTGGGGGATCCAGATTTCACATCAGCCTTTAGCTATAAGTGTCTGATAAGCTGGAAGACCCATTCTCTTGCTAGTCCCCCTCTATCCCAGAGCTTTCTCCAGCTTTTGGGTTGCTGTGGAGAAGATAAGGTAAGTAGAATTTCTCTACCTGCATTGGCCTCCACTTTTGAGTTCACCTCTTGCCAATACTTCTAGTGTTGCCCTTACCCAGAGTAGAAAATATCTGGATGCCAATGAGACAAGCTGGCATTACAAGTCATTAATAATTTCATACAGATTTTGATCAGCATCAGTGTGTGGCATGCCTGACTAGATCAGAAGGACTAACCATTGAATGCCTTGAAAATTAGCAGAATACAAGATAAGTAAAGGGCAATTTCACCTTTAATTCCAAGTCTACCCAGTTTTATTACATATCCCATAAATCAACTGAAAATCATCAGCAGCAGATACAAAAATGCTGTTCACAATTATAGGGTTGAAAGCAACTAGTCAAGTAGCCAACTATCCCATAAACCTAGACTTATTGGGTAGTTGAGTCACTACTCGACTAGTCACTTCTCTCCCCCCTGCTGCCTCTATCACCGTCTCCACAGGGGAACAGCGGAGGGCAGAGGTGCACCAGAGGACCGGGCATGAGCCAGAACTCAGCTATCCTGGCTCATGCCTGGTTCCCCGCTGTGCCTCTGCTTTTTAAATGTAGTAAGAACCAGGCGGCTCTTACTACATTTGAAAGGCAGAGCTGCAGTAGGCTTAGCTCCTCTGATTCATGGGCTTATGATTTAGGTCTTTTTTACGCTACAGGCACATAGGCAAAGTAATGTGAACAAAGCTTGACTGATGCTGCTTATATTGTACCTGCTCTAAATAGGTCAAAATTTCCAGGTACTTCAGTCTAGCATCTCTCACCAAAACTAAATCACCCAGTTTTTTTAAAAATTAGATTTCAGGCACCTATATGGAGTTCTTCTGCGTAAGGAAGACATGAATGCGAACTAACCAAATGAATTAGGCCAATATGCTGTGCATGCACAAAGATTAAAAACACATCCGAAATAACTCAGCCACATACCAGCTGAATGCGTACAAAGACCAGCAGCCCATAAAATGTCACCAATGTAGAACGCATAATAACACACAAGGGAGGAAATAGGCAAGAGAATTGGCAACTGTACCTGATAGAGTTTTATTATGTGCGGGTGGTCAAGCATTTTCATTATCTGCACTTCTCGATAGATCTTCTCCAAGTTCACAGCATCCAACTGAGATTTGTCAATTATTTTTATTGCCACCTGTATCCAAAGAACAAAAAAATTCTTTAAACCACTTTTCTCTAGTTTTGCCTACTTGTTAACAGGACATCAAAATCCTATGAAACTTGCTGTATCTTAGAATTTGATAATTCACTTACTCAGCTGCTTACCAATATCTCTTTAGCACTGTCTACAGGTGCAGACAGTACCAGCAGGGGCTTACACAGCAGAGCAGAGATTTGAAGTGTTCTTTAATTTGTGCATGTGAGCAAGTGGACTGAAGTCATAAATAGAGCAAGTGCAGCCTGATACCTGGGAATCCAGAAGCAGTGCTGAGAGATGAAACAGTCTGAGATGTCTTATAGAATCACAGAATAGTAGAACTAGAAGGGACCACAAAAGGTCATCAAGTCTAGTCCCATGCCATCATGGCAGGACCAGTCACAGGCTATATCATCCCTGATAGATGTCTGCCTAACCTGCTCTTAAATATCTCCAGTGATAGAGATTCCACAACCTCACTCAAACACCCTGACAGCTAGGAAACAACGTGATTCTGAGATGCATTAACAGGAGTGTTGTGAGCAAGACACGAGAAGTCATTCTTCCACTCTACTCTGCACTGATTAGGCCTCAATTGGAGTATTGTGTCCAGTGATGCACACTACATTTCAAGAAAAATGTGGAGAAATTGGAGAAGGTCCAGAGAAGAGCAACAAAAATGATTATAGGTCTAGAAAACATGAGGTATGAGGCAAGGTTAAATGAATTGGGCTTATTTAGTTTGGAAACGAGAAGACTGGGGGTATGTCTACACTATCACCCTAGTTCGAACTAGGGTGGTAATGTAGTCAACCGGAGTTGCAAATGAAGCCCGGGATTTGACTAGGCTTCCTATTCCGAACTACCATTACTCCTCGTAGAACTACCTAGTTCGTGCCACATGTAGCCGCGGGGCACGGAGTCCAAACTAGCGGACATTTAAAAATGGCGGCGCCCGGCAACATGCAAATGAAGCCTGGGAAATTCAAATCCCGGGCTTCATTTGCAACTCTGGTTGACTACATTACCACCCTAGTTCGAACTAGGGTGATAGTGTAGACATACCCCCAGTCTTCTCGTTTCCAAACTAAATAAGCCCAATTCATTTAACCTTGCCTCATACCTCATGTTTTCTAGACCTATAATCATTTTTGTTGCTCTTCTCTGGACCTTCTCCAATTTCTCCACATTTTTCTTGAAATGTAGTGTGCATCACTGGACACAATACTCCAATTGAGGCCTAATCAGTGCAGAGTAGAGTGGAAGAATGACTTCTCGTGTCTTGCTCACAACACTCCTGTTAATGCATCTCAGAATCACGTTTGCTTTAGTGTCACACTGTTGACTCATATGTAGCTCGTGGTCCACTATGACCCCTAGATCCCTTTCTGCAGTACTCCTTCCTAGACAGTTGCTTCCCAGTCTGTGTGTGTGAAATGGACTGTCCTTTCCTAAGTGGAGAACTTTGCATTTGTCCTTATTAAATTTCAACTTATTTACCTCAGACCATTTCTCCAGTTTGTCCAGATCATTTTGAATTATGACCCTATCCTCCAAACAGTTGCAACTCTTCCCAGATTGATAAGTTTTCAGATGATAATAAGAGTACTCTCTATGCTGTCATCTAAATCATTGATGAAGATAGTGAACAGAACCGGTCCCAAAACAGACCCCTGCGGAACCCCACTTGTTATGCCCTTCCAGCAGGATTGTGAAGCGTTAATAATTACTTTCTGAGAACAGTTAACCAACCTGTTATGCATCCACCTTATAGTAGCCCCATCTAAGTTGTATTTGCCTGATTCTTTGATAAGAAGATCATGTGAGACCATATCAAATGCCTTACTAAAGTCTAGGTATACCATGTCCACCACTTCTCCCTTATCCACAAGACTCGTTATCCTATCAAAGAAAGTTATCAAATAGGTTTAAATGATTTGTTCTTTACAAATCCATGCTGGCTGTTACCTATCACCTTATTTTCTTCCAGATGTTTGCAGATGAATTCCTTAATTTCCTGCTCCATTATCTTTCCTGGCACAGAAGTTAAACTGATTAGTCTGTAGTCTTGAAGTATTGTGTCACGATATGACACAATGCAAAGATAAGTTCCCAAACTAAAACAAGTCAGTATTTTTTCTTTTGCAAAACAAACTAGTAAAATCTTCAACTACAGCTGCCTTTGCTACCCCAGACCCTGATCCTGCATACTAGATGCATTTCTCAGGAATCGTGACTCAACTGTAGAGAGCAGCTAGCAAGCACAAGAGATATATATAGGTCCTCAAAAATATATAGGCACTATCGATTTCAATATACAGAAATGGACATTATTGCCTGAATAAGAATGACTTAGGGCAGTGGTCTCCAACCTTTTTACACCCAAGATCACTTTTTAATTGTCAGGACAAGCCAAGATCTACCCCATCCCTTCCTCAAAACCCCACCCTTTCCTTGAGGTCCTGCCCTCTCTGTTCCCCTTCTCTCCATCACTTGCTATCCCTGGCCCTTATACACTCTCAGGATATGGCTACATTGCCGCTTTTTTTTCGGCAGTGAAAAAAAGAAAAGAAATTTTTCCGACATTTGACCCGTCTAGACTGGGCCAAATGTTGGAAAACCCCCTTCTTTTGGAAGCCCCCCTCATTCCTCATGGAACGAGGAATACAAAAGGGGCTGCCAAAAGAGCATGTTTGCTGGAAAAACTCCTGCGGTCTAGCCGTACCTTCGCTGAGTTGAGACAGAAAGTGCGGGTGTGAAAAAAAGAAAAGAAATTTTTCCGACATTTGACCCGTCTAGACTGGGCCAAATGTTGGAAAACCCCCTTCTTTTGGAAGCCCCCCTCATTCCTCATGGAACGAGGAATACAAAAGGGGCTGCCAAAAGAGCATGTTTGCTGGAAAAACTCCTGCGGTCTAGCCGTACCTTCGCTGAGTTGAGACAGAAAGTGCGGGTGTGGATGAGGGATTTCAGTGTAGGAAAGAGGGAGAGGGGCCTGCTCCGGGAGGA